GCACGGACTGGTGGAGCCGGATTGACTGGTCGTGCCAGAGGACTGGCTCCAATCGGCTCACTGGCACTTAACAGCAAGCAGTGATGGTGGTGGTGATGAAGATGATGGTGGTAATGATGGCACGGTGTTGGGTGCCGCAGCTGCTATAATGATGGTGGTGGTGATGATGATGTAAGGATGAATGTGATGAGAGCTGCTCGTGATGGTGGCTGCGGTGATGATGATGAAGATGGTGACACAGCGCGAGATGATGATCAAGCAAGTGGCCTGGCTACTCGTGATGGAAGAAGCTGATGATGATGGTGGTAGTGGTGGCACGGTGCTCAATGATGACGATATCCAGGAAACTCCCGACCTGCTCGTGATGGAAGATGATGATGATGGTGGTTATAACGGTGACGGCAAGGTTTGCTATATTATGGTCAAGAGAGGGTGCCAGGCTGCTGCTGTAGTGATGGACGAGGATGATGATAGTGCTGGAGATAAATTCATAAGCGCGCAGAGCATCGCAGGCGTGGGATCGCGTTTCCGTGCCACGTGGTGAAGGAGGCACGCCTCGTGTCACGTGGGGTTGTCACTTAACCCCCACCCAGCGCGTTGACATTCATTCAACATGAGTCAAGATCAATCCACTGCTGGATTGATCACGGCTGATGACCTCCCCCCCCCCCTTCCTTCCCCACGCTGTTGGTCATGGAGTTTTTTTTCTTCCATACTTCACCACACTGGTGAATAATGGTGGGGCATATGGTTGGCATTATTGTACACTACTGTGTTGAAGTTGATCTATTGTGGTGACACAGTTGTAATGCGCTGTAACTAAAGAGCTATTTTATGAGACCTCCTTTGCCAGTAACAAGATATAGTAATAGGTTTTACCCTTTTAACTGGCACAAAAACTGACACCTTTATTCAAGGCATCATGTTTGCAATAACCACAACACAAGCAGTCAAAATGCAAACAGAGTTGTCTTTTTTGTTTGCATTTTGACTGCTTATGTTGTGGTTATTGCAAACATGATGCCTTGAATAAAGGTGTCAGTTTTTGTGCCAGTTAAAAGGGTAAAACCTATTACTATACTATAAAGATCTATTATTGGTCAGTTTGGTAAGAACCCAGTAAACGTGGAACGTTGGGCGAACGTTGGCCGAACGGCCCAAGCGCATGCCCAATGTTGCATGTTTGCTGTGAATGTTATGGTTGAGGGGACATTTTATTTGCAGTAGTTAGAATTCCTGTTTTAATTTGTACAAAATCAATACATTGCAAATACAGTGCAGTATTTTTGAAAACTATAGTTTTCTTTATAAACCAAGTTAAGATTTAACTCAAATATTTAATAAGGACACTTTTGCCTGATTCCCACCCATCTGACACAACATTGATGCCAGGACTATCTGTCCTGTAGTCTAGGCGGCAGTCACTACATTGTTTGACGTGGTTCAAATTCAATACATAAGTCAAATTAAAATATAACATGTCCTTGAATTCTTCCAGTCAGAATGAGCCCCCCCTCCCCCCCATGGACTAAAATGGTGACAGAATGAAAAGTCGAGTTACTTTATGTATGTTTAACCTCTACGTACGCTATTTTACTTAACATACAGTATTATAAATCAGATTAATTACGGTTAAGCCTTAATTGTGATCATTCATAGCAATCATCACCCGCGAAAAATTGGCAAAGCTCTTCCTGATAAAGAGTCATGAGAACCAGTGAGGCTTTCCTGGGTAAAATAAGCATAAGAATTGTGACATAATCGAAATACAATATGCGGTAGTGTGATGGGTGGTTCAGATGTCTTGTGACCCCCATTAAATTCCGTGAAATATAATCTTTTTAAAGTAAGTGTTATTTAAAACAAAAATGAATGTGCAAAATAAATGGTAAGGGGTCAATTAATTTGGGGTCGCAAGACATTTGGACCTTCTTGTACATTAAGTATCAAGTAAAGGGTGCATTTTACCAGATATGTGAAACTCCCTAAAGGGGGCGCTCAGCAACCGGCCCAGACGTTTTCATTGAACAGGGATATGATCGAGATCAGGGAGATCAGGGAGATCAGAAAGGTTTATTATGAATATTATTACGAATAATGTTCTGATTGTATTATGTTATTTCAGATATAATGCCATTTATGTGTCCATGAAAGCCTCAAAGAGTCGTAATATAGCTATTTTTCGAAGGGCACTTATCATGTTTTTTTTTAATAAGAAGCTTTGAAATGAATATTTACATGACTGCACAACATGTAATTTGGACACGTTCTCAGCATTTGACATGGTTTATTGTGGTTAGCTTTACATGTGAAAACGTGCAATGATATTATTGAAAAGTAAATCGAGTATACTATATGTTTTGTTTATTATCAAACAGCAACATAGACTTCAGTCTATATGTGCCAAGATGCATGCCACATGTAGACTGAAGTATGTGTACTTTTAAGACATGTGTTGTACAGTATTAAAAATACAACATTGCTGTACTGTATCGAAATTAAAGTTTAGCGGTTTTTGTTAGGTCGATGACTACAGGCCAAAACCATAAAGTGGCCAGAAATAAACAACGCTATCACAGTTGTCTGCCCTCTCGTTACATTAATCAAACCGAAGATGTCTGAAAAACATGCAGTTGAAAATCAAACACCGATATATGAGCGGTGTACTGTCAAACTTTGCTACCTACGAGCAAATCGCCCAAAATGCGAGATATCTCGGAATACAAGGCGGCTTTGAGCCTGGCTAGTGCTTTGGTAGGCAATTAGAAATGCGTTAAAGTGCTATAGGCTTCTGCAGGTCTATGTTGTTGGTAAGAAGAGGCAAGTGCAGCAAAATCCATCATGCTGCAGTACCCTCCTTTCAGAAACCTGTACTGACCACATAAAACATGCTAATAAACTTCGGTAATGTACTCATTGTCCTTGAAACGGATCGACCTACACTTGAGACAGCCTCTTTTATGGCTTTGTCGCACCAGTACCATATAGATCAAGGGCCGCCAATTTGGCGAACAGTACAAAGACGATGCAAACGCCAAAGTCTGAATAGCTCGGGTTAAACAGTTATATCCATGGCATCCTTTTGGCCAGTATCAATCAATTTGGCAAATCAGTTTCGAGGACAATGCGTACATTATCAAATCATATTTATTTGCATGTATTACCACAAGCTGTGTGGTGAATGCAGACTTGATGCCTTGTGATAGGTGTCGGTTTAGTGTTTGAACATCTCAGCACCTGTATTTAATGATACAGGCATAAGCGTCCCATAGATAAAAGGTTGTATTATGTAACCATGCCACGTGTAGACTGTATGACGTGTTCACACTATGCACAGCATCTCAGTAACACATGGCTGAACTTTGGTATGTTGTTGGAAGCATTCGACCCACGTTGGCCCAACGTTCGTTCATTCGTTTCTCAGTCCGCTCGCCCTGGTGAGGGTCGCAGTGGCAGCATGTTGAGTAAAGTGGTCCAGACCTCCCTTTCCTTCGCGACACAGACTCTAACTCTTCCTGGAGAATTCCCAGGCGTTCCAAGGTCAGCCGAGCGTCATCGTCCTGCCAGCGTGTCCTGGGCCGGCCCCGGGGTCTTCACCCAGTGGGACATGCCCTGTAAAATTCCAGGGGGAGTCTACCGGGGGGGCATCCTTATCAGTTGCTCGAACCACTTAAATTGGCGCCTCTCGATCCAGAGGAGCAGCGGCTCGACTCTGAGGATTACCAAGCTCCTCGCTCATTCACGGAAACTGGCCCAACGTTCCATGTTGAATAGGATACACGTCGTGCTTTTCAACGGTTCACCCAGCGTGGTGGTGAATTTATGGTCAAATGTCTCTTCGGGGCCACGAACGGCGTGGTGGAAGCGACTTTACAGTCTGGCTATTTTACACGGGAGATCTGTGGTTCGTGAGCACAGCAATAACAACATAAAATAAAAATCAATGTCGGAGAGAACGAGAAACAGGCTCTTTTAGGAATATTGCACGAGGCATTCAGCGGTCATAAAGGAACGACACACAAACCAAAATCGTCGCAAATGTAATATAATAAAAAAATAGGTACAGGTGCATGTAAGCTATTTTATTTTATGTCCAGTGACATAAACATACGCACATCGAAAAAGACAGTGAAAAAACATTGTGTGACAGAGAGACCCTTCATCCAGCAGTGGATCAGCAAAGAGCTGCCACGTCCAGGATTGTACAGGCTGGTTTATGGGAGAGTTGCGGCATCACAGCTCGGTGTGGACGGCACAATCGCCGATCCCAGGGACACCCGTCAACCCCTTATCAGTGCCCCTACCTTATTACAGACCAATTCAGGCCTTATTGGTCGCCCCGTGCCCCTTATACATCTCAACGTCCATCCTACAAAGTCCCATCACAAGTGAGAAATACAAACAAACAGACAAAATATTATGCTTTGGTACTTTCGGTAAAGTCACGTAGGTATAAAATAAAATAAATTAAATCTAGATTAGACAAAATATCTGTTGTGCCCGCATTGAAACGGCTGTACGCCGTATGGACCTGTCAACTAAATTTCCCTGTACAAGACTACGGGGTGAACCGTATTGGTGGGTTGACACGGTATGGTGATGATGCTGATGCATTTCAAATGTTACATCTCGCCAACACACACAAAAAACAACCAATACTGTATTTTCATATCACCTACCCGCCAACTCCATACCTGCCAACCCCTTATCAGTGCCCCTACCTTATTACAGACCAACTCACACCTTATTGGTGACCCCGTGCCCCTTATACATCTCAACGTCCATCCTACAAAGTCCCATCAAAAGGGAGAAACACAAACAAATAAACAAAACCTTTTTTTTTTTACCCGTATCGAAACGGCTGTACGCCGTATGAACCTGTGAACTCAATTTCCCCTGTACAAGATTCGTGGATGCTATGGCTTGGGTGACACCGCATGCCACCACCCTCCCACCCACCCCAAGCCCGCCCGCCCTGACGCCTCCCGCCCGGCACGCCGTTGTGGGCGTGCCGGGCGGTCCGGTCCGCGTGATGTCACCTGCGTGCGACAGCATCAGCAGCAGCAACAACAACAACAGAAGCAGCAGCAGTAGCTGCTGCAGCACCAGCATCGGCAGCCACAACAGTCGCTCGAGAAAACGCTGACAACAACAATAACAGCGGCGGCAACAACAACAATAACAACAATAGATTGCGACGAGAGAGAGGAGGGAGGGAGGGAGGCCCGTCATGGAGGCGAACGTTTGAAAGCGGAAGGGTTTAGAAAATCGGAGTCTCTTATTCCACTGCCGTGTTCTCGCTTATCGTATATTTATTTTAAATATAATCTCTACCACTTCGCGAGAGGGGTGTTTTTTATTTTATTCCTCGCTTCCTCATAGCTTTACGATTTTATGTTTCATTATTTTTTTTTAGAGCGCAATACGTTGCCGTCAAATAAGTAGTTCGGCTGCGTGCAAAGTAGTTGGGAGCTGTCTGTGTTTGGTGTGGTGGTAGTTTACCACCGTGTTCTTTAGTAGTACTGTAGCAAGTACGTGTTGCCAGTACACAGCCACTGTTATGGTAAGTCACGTTGTTGAGTACTGTTGTGTACTGCTGGCGGTGGTGTTAGTTGGTGTCGTAGTGTAGGCGCTGATGTAAGCAGTATTATCAGTACCGTGATTTTAGCAATTGTGGAACTGTGGTTCATGTCGTGAGCAACACCGTGTTGTGGTAACACTGGTTATATGTGTTGATAAAAGTGCAGCAGTTGCAAGTAAACCTTTGTTAGAACGCCTGCTTATCGCAGTTGTGTAGTGCCCTGCAGTACTGCTCAGGTGTGTTAGTACTACACTGCAGTGCCGTGGTGGTAGTGATTGTTGGTAGTGATTGTTGGTAGTACTTTCAAAGCGGTGGTTGTGAGCAATTTCCCAAATTCGTGCTGACTTTTTGGTTGTGTCGTTGAAAGTGCTGCGCATATCACGCGATTTCTGTTAATGCTGAACTTGTGGTCGTGTTCTGAGTTAAATGTATTCGGTGCTTTCAAGCACTTTCAAGTCAGCTGTTCGGTTGGAGTGGCGGTTACCTGTGGTCGTTCAAAAATTAGGTGGGCACAACCTGCCAGAATTGTAAGAAACCGGCCGTATTGATTTTGAATTTCAAAATATTTCCCTCGGGCAGGGTCTCCCACTACAGAGAACTAAATATTTAATCAAAGTCCCGTGAAACGTGCAAACAAAGTTCAGAAAAGGTCCCGGGACACGTCGCACAGACATCGTTGTTGCTGTTGGTAGTTTCTGCGATAGTAGTAACGCTCGTGCCACTGCTGCGTCAGTAATGAAATTGTGAGGGCCCAACCACCACAGCAGCCTCTGCCAACAGCAGCCAAATATCATCGGCCATGGGAGGCAAACAGAGCTCAAATGCCCGCACGAGAGCCTTCTCCAGCTCGGACGTTCCCAGCCCAGGCCATGGAGGGTCCAGCTCTGCTGCCTACCGAGGTCACCGGTCTACCCATGGCCTTCTCGGCGGAACCTCCGCTTCGTCGTCGTCCGCCACCTCCTCGGGCCGCAATCCACCGATCGGCATCCCAGGGGGCAGGGTGGCCACGGGGCCAGGAGTCCATGGATCTGGCGCCGATGATGTGGGAGGAGGGAGACAGAGGCTCTTCAACATGCTCAGCTCTGCTGGGATGTCGCAGTCGCTGCCCGTGCAACTCACGCCACACCTGCTTGGGGGTGAGTGGTGGGAGCCATTGGGGTTGAGCCCTGCCACCTGTCCTGGTGTTTTGTCACAATGCGTAATAATACACCGCTCAAGACAATGCACTTTTTTGTAGTTCTTCCATCTGGCATTGTCAGACACAGTATTCTTCCCATCATAAGTCCCAGTTCTTTGTACTTCAGAGATGGGTGACGTTTGTCAGTTTTTATTTTTGTTCTTGCTGTTGATAACCCTTAATCCTCGTTGTAACAGGGCCAAAGCTGACTTCAGCTGTGAATATGGGTGCTGTTACAGTTATAGAATTGAGGTAACAATGTACGTGTACATCCCCTTTGTCAGGCCACTGCTGGATGAGGGCTTCCCACACCTTTGTGGGTCGTGGAGGTCAATTGATCGACGTGGGTTAGTGAATGTGGGTATCCTGTAAATATTGCATAGTACTGTACAACAATGGATTTTGCTGCACTGCCCACCACAGCCTACAAATGTGTTATGTATTGTGATTCCCCTTCCGTGCTTAAAGCACTATACAGGCTCAACCCATGTTGTTGGTTCTTTCGGAAAAGTCAGAGGTCATACGAGGTTGGGTGCATTCCGGGTGATTTCCTCTCAAGTTTGTTAATATTTTGGTGTAGCCAATGTTGGCCCCCATGTCAGACCAGATTATTTCTTGGCTGGTTTTGAAATTTGCTTTATCTCACAATTCACCTACATTGTTGGCCAAGGGTGAACTTGTTTAAAACCCAAGCCATGTCGTAAAAAGCCAGATCAAGATTCCGATGTGTGAAAAAAGTGGTAAAAATCTACACCGTTGTTCAAATTATAATCTAGCCTACCTGCTTTAAGCACCTTAATCTTTGCTTTAGCATCAAGAGTCGTGCTATTGGAATTGTGTGGTGGGTCATGGTGCTTTTGTCTGGAGGTTAAAGTGCAAGAAGACCTTCCATCCAGTGTCACACTGACTCCTGTAAATTAGTACCGGAGTGACCTCGAAAACGGGAACCCACAAAAAAGGGATTGTGGCTTAACTTAGGATGAGATTGTACATCTACAGTAAGTACCTGCTGGACCATAGGTTGTGTCTTTTATTTTCTAATGTGGCCAGTTTCCCAGTCGCACATACACACTTTGTTAAGTTACAGTGGTGTTATGCCAGGGGCATTGTCTGTAAATACAGCACTGTAATAAGGTGGGACTTGGACGTACTTGATCTCTCGCTGAAGAATCAATGGCAAAATTGCACGTATTTCACGTACATTTGTTTTCAAGACGTTATAATTGTAGGTGTTAAATCGTGTTCTGAATGCGTGTGGGAGGATTAGACGAATTACATGCGATTCCTGTCCAGAGGTTATAATGGAGCTTGATTAGCAGGCTTGTGACTCACTGATTTTCCAAGCCGTGTATTAGGTTTGCTGGTCATTCTTCAACAGTGATTTCGTTTCTGATTTAAAAAAGCAGACTATAAAACGATTTCCTTCCATGAGGAATATGCTGGTTAGGCTATTACAGGACTGTAATTATATGCATGAAGGCCAATTGCACATTTTCACCATAACGATCATGTAGCATCGTAAAGGTCACTTTTCACCACCATCGCAATCAGAATCTATCATTATAGCGAGTGGACCTTACCTTATCTGCGTCATCAGTAAAATTCTCAAAGTTGTCGTTTTGAGAGTCATCATTGGTTGACCCGAGTATTTTATACCTGTTGATTCGCACTGATAAAAATCGTGTTAACTCATCAAAGATTAACGTTGAGAAATAGATTGAGCATGTGCACGTGAACAGTCCCTTTTTTCAATCCACTGCTGGATGAGGGCCTCCCCATGCCGTGCAGTTCGTGGGGGTTATTTGAGCATACTTCACCTCTCTGGTCAGTGCAGGTTGGTGAAGGTAAGGAGCATGGACATGGGATCACAGTACATTACAACAATGACTTGCTGCACTGCCTTCTGCTATCAACATATTCTCTACAACACCGGACGAGATCAGGTGCATTCCCATTTCGTGTCATTTGGTCATAAGCTGAAAATTCGTTTATTTGTATGGAAAAAAGTAAAGATTAATCACACTGTTTACTAAAAATACAGAAACGTGGGCTTTAAGACAAAATGGTGTATGTATCACGTTGCTGAGAAATGAGTAACAAGATTGTGGTGCCAAGGGCATGTCAACCAGTGTTGTTATGTGGGTGAGGGGTACGTTTTGGTTATTGTCTGGGACCCGTGCTCATCCGGGCATGAACAGTGCCCGTTTACATGATGAAGCAGTTGTTTATGCTTTGAAATGTACCCACGTATTCAGTCCCACGGCTTGTGATATTTTGTTTAAAAAAAAGGGGGGGGGGATTCTTTTTTTTATTTTATGACATTTTATTCTGGAAGGAATGTATACAGTGCCTCCTGGGTGCTTTCGTGCCAGCCATTTGTTATCGAATAATGACTGATGAGATTACATAATGGCATAGGTATCAGAAAAAGTATAGTCATAATTTACAGATTTCCCCACTGTCAGTGATCGGTAAGCTGTTGCCACCTTGTCCTGGTTTCAACGAATCATCCTCTTTTTGAGGATGTTGCCTTGAGAATTCTGTCTTTGCCAGACATTTGTCTTTGTTTCACGTGTTAAACTAATTTGTCTTTGTTTCATCCTTCTTAGAACTCACTTTGCTGATGAGCCCTAATAATGTCAAAACTGATTCACAGTTTTCTATCTCTGTACCACTGTAGCTGTCAATTGGTCACATTTGCTCAATTTAATTTGATGGTGGTTTTTGCATATGCACAATCCGTGTGCAAGTTACTCGTGTATGTGTATATTTTTACTATTTCACCAAGAATATTCGGAGGAAATAATATGTGGATTTCACCTAGATAGGTGAATGTGTAAGTTTTGATATATTTGGTATTGGAAAATGAGTTAAGCAACTTCCACGTAACAGAACCCAAGTGCGTAATTATACAGATGGAGTGGTTTTGTCTTAGAACATTCGTTTGAAATTGCTTACATCTCTCGTTGACAAAAAAAGAGCTCTAATGACTCCAGAATGTTTGATGTACTTCCAATTTGTAAAAAAAAAACACGGAACAAGTTAAGCCTGTTCAAGCCACACAAGCGTAAATGTACACATCATGATCATTCGAGTACTACAATGAGGGAAAAAAAGTATTTTATCCCCTGCTGATTTTGTACGTTTTTCCACTAACAAAGAAATGATCAGTCTATAATTTTAATGATATGTTTATTTGAACAGTGAGAGACAGAATAACAACAACAAAATCCAGAAAAACGCATGTCAAAAATGTTATAAATTGATTTGCATTTGAATGAGGGAAATAAGTATTTGACCCCTCAGCAAAACATGACTTAGTACTTGGTGACAAAACCCTTGTTGGCAATCACAGAGGTCAGACGTTTCCTGTAGTTGGCCACCATGTTTGCATACATCTCAGGAGGAATTTTGCCCCACTCCTCTTTGCATATCTTCTCCAAGTCATTAAGGTTTCGAGACTGATGTTTGGCAACTCGAACCTTCAGCTCCCTCCACAGATTTTCTATGGGATTAAGGTCTGGAGACTGGCTAGGCCACTCCAGGACCTTAATGTGCTTCTTCTTGAGCCACTCCTTTGTTGCCTTGGCCGTGTGTTTTGGGTCATTGTCATGCTGGAATACCCATCCACGACCCATTTTCAATGCCCTGGCTGAGGGAAGGAGGTTCTCACTCAAGATTTGACAGTACATGGCCCCGTCCATCGTCCCTTTGATGCGGTAAAGTTGTCCTGTCCCCTTAGCAGAAAAACACCCCCAAAGCATGTTTCCACCTCCATGTTTGACTGTGGGGATGGTGTTCTTGGGGTCATAGGCAGCATTACTCCTCCTCCAAACACGGCGAGTTGAGTTGATGCCAAAGAGCCCCATTTTGGTCTCATCTGACCACAACACTTTCACCCAGTTTTCCTCTGAATCATTCAGATGTTCATTGGCAAACTTAAGACGGGCATGTATATGTGCTTTCTTGAGCAGGGGGGCCTTGCGGGCACTGCAGCATTTCAGTCCTTCACGGCGTAGTGTGTTACCAATTGTATTCTTCGTGTCTATGGTCCCAGCTGCCTTGAGATCATTGACAAGATCCTCCCGTGTAGTTCTGGGCTGATTCCTCACCGTTTTCATGATCATTGCAGCTCCACGAGGTGAGATCTTGCATGGAGCCCCAGGCCGAGGGAGATTGACAGTTCCTTTGTGTTTCTTCCATTTGCGAATAATCGCACCAACTGTTGTCACCGTCTCACAAAGCTGCTTATCAATGGTCTTGTAGCCCATTCCAGCCTTGTGTAGGTCTACAATCTTGTCCCTGACATCCTTGGATAGCTCTTTGGTCTTGGCCATGGTGGAGAGTTTGGAATCTGATTGATTGATTGCTTCTGTGGACAGGTGTCTTTTATACAGGTAACAAGCTGAGATTAGGAGCACTCCCTTTAAGAATGTGCTCCTTATCTCAGCTCGTTACCTGTATAAAAGACTCCTGGGAGCCAGAAATCTTTCTGATTGAGAGGGGGTCAAATACTTATTTCCCTCATTCAAATGCAAATCAATTTATAACATTTTTGACATGCGTTTTTCCGGATTTTTTTGTTGTTTTGTCTCTCACTGTTCAAATAAACCTACCATTAAAATTATAGGCTGATTATTTCTTTGTCAGCGGGCAAACGCACAAAATCAGCAGGGGATCAAATACTTTTTTCCCTCACTGTATCCCAGTTAAAAACTGCAGATAAAATTGAGCACACTTACAATTTATATTGTACTGCTGGGAGTATTCTTTAGCCCACAGCAGCTATCTCTCACAGTTTTGCAATGCCACAATCTTTTTCACTTCTGCACGTAAACTGCTTTGGTTGCCATTCCGTCACCCATCTCATCCATCGACCATCCCTTGTAGCCAAGGTGCGTGATGTGTCCTGCCTAAGGCCAATCATCTTTTAACAGTATAATGTCCATGATTTGCGTT